TTACAACTTTTTTCTCAATCCTTTTGTCTCTTTATCTCACCCTTAAGCTCTGCCGAATTCATTCCAAAACACCTGTTCAAGAGAACGTTTCAGATTATTTTATTGCTTGTTGGTTTTAATGTACTCACAGGTTTGTCCATGTTTGCCTGTCAATTCAGTATACACTACAATTGTAATACAGCACCAACCCCATTAGCACAGCGTGATACACTAATCAGGTCATGCTCATACGTTAGGTCCTCACATTCTTCTTTAACAGAAATAGATATATTCATTCAGTAATTATTTCCAGTTTCTTCCAATGTTCCTGTTCTACAGTTTCTGTACAGACAGTGAATTGATCTACTGCACCTGTAAGCCATCATTTCATTATGCAGACATTTGTTATTACATGAGGCTTTTACTTTTTAAAAAACATCTGCAGGAAGTGCTCAGTTACACTGATGGTAACACTATATGCATCATGAGAAGCTGACCCCCATTTGCTATGCTTTGACTTTAGAATCAGGCATTGGTTCCATTTTTTATTCAAGAATTTTCGGTATTTTTTCATGCAATTTTCAATTCTATTTGTCCATCAGATGCTTACACGGACGAGGACCTGATGCTGTACTGGAAAAGCGGTGATGAGTCTCTGAGCACCGACGACAGAATTTCCCTGTCGCAGTTCCTCATCCAGAAGTTTCACACTACCTCCAGACTGGCTTTCTACAGCAGCACAGGTAGAGTAACTAAACCAAGGCTGTGTGGAGTTTTATACAGATACTTTCAAAAGAATAGATCCATCGGGCTACATCCACCAAGTCTCTAGATTTACTATGTGACAATGAATGAACTGATTAATATAAACTCAAACCTTCACATTACCCCTGCATTTATACCATGTCTTATCCTGTTTTGTCTAAGGGACTTGTGGCGAAATCTACTAAATAATAAGAAAAGGTGCTGGTAGAACGAGACCACACAGTACATATTCATAATGCATAAGTAAAACATTTTGATGGGTTTGTATCTCCTATTCTACACTTGGCACTGCAGAATCTCCTTTATCATGTAAAACAGTCTCCTCTGACCTACATTTTGTAAGGATGGCAGCAGAAGAGAGGCAAAAGCAGCAATAGAAAATAAAGACACAAAATGTTCTCGCTGAGGTGAAGCTGTGGGTGTGGCAGTTTTTCAGCAAGGCAGGAGAGAGGTAAATGTTGCAGAAGTTTGACTGGCTGTAATGGAATGGTCAGGCTATACAATACTGTGATGTCAAGACAACATGCAAAATATGGAAATTGCTGTGAGGCGTTGAGGTAATTCTCCATCTAGCTGCCCAGTGGGGGTTACTGATACCTAGAGTACATCCTCCCACTATCCAGAAAATGAAGCCAAAATATCCTGAATACAAACATTGCCACCTGTGTATTTGTGAAGTAGTGATCAGACACTTACTAGCAAGGTGAACCTAAAATGACAGAAACCAAGGGACAAAATGAAGGCTACTGAGAAGTCAGCATCCGGCATTTACTAGCTAAAGCCAGATTCTGATCTAGCCAATGATATGCCGTTTCTGGTAAATCAGGAGTTGTACTTTACCACATTGACTCCAAAAGGGTCAAACATAAACTCATTTCTGACCCAAGTGGTCTTCATTATTATGCACAGACCTGAGAACTGAGAGGTGTCTTTGTTTTTCTCTGTGGAACTTGAATTACCAGGTTAAATGTTTTTTCAAAGGGGTTTTAACGGAACCCAGGTAAACTTTCTGAAACTATATTGTAGAACTATTCTCTTACAAAGTCAGCAAATGTCCTCAACTTATCTATGAGTTTTGTGACAGTATCTGTATATCTGTGAATCCAAAATGCTTCCACACATCTCAGATGGTTTGGCTGCAGGTATTCTACATTATCTCAGGGCTTTTTCATTACTGTAGGAAACACACAGGTGTAAATAACAAAAAAAAAATTCTATTTAGCCACTTCAGGATGCTGGCATTGTGTGGGACACTTGAATAGCACCGAGACTTTGTTAATGTTATTAACAACGTGAGTGTGCAGAGAATACAGACAGTTGCACTTTACGCACTAAGATTTAACTAGAGCAGATTATTAAAGATTGAACATCTGTTTTTTCAATTTTAAATATTGTGTTATTTAATATATAAATATATTAAATAAAATATGGCATTAGGGAATGAAGTAAATAAGTTCTTAATTCAATTTGAGGTCAGTTGCAACTTATCTCACCAAAAACAATGACCTGATTACTCACTGATGACTTAAGACCAAACTTACCAAAGATATGAAATAGCTCTACGTGAGGTAAAAGCTGTTCACTTAGGTTAAAGAAAACCTTCTTTTCTTCAGTGAGATTAACAGTGTATAGAAAGAAAACTCTCCCTCTGGAGAATATTTGAACGTCGGGAGCTGGAACACTGCTCTGAAAAACACGCCACTGGAATATTTTAATATACTGCATAAATTTCCTTCACATTGTTATTCCACCATTTTCTACCTTGTAGTGTTTTTCTGTCATAGATATTTGGATCCAGCACAATGACCTCTTTTCTACTCAGCTGCTGTTTTGTTTATTTGGTTTATATGCCCTCAAGATTTGTATCATCCCTGTGCAGATGAGGATGTTTTGGGGGGGGGGGGGTTCAATACAAAAACACCGATGGGACAACATGGAGACAGAATCAATAAAGAAAATGTTTGTAAGGTGGATGGGAGAGAGCAATTTGAAGAAAGCCGATTGGCAGGTTCATGGCATACAGATTAGTTGGTAATTTCACCTTGTTCTTTGTTTATAATGTCACTCTAGTCTAGTACATCCTTCGTCTTCTTATCCACTGACAAATGAAGCTATTTGTGAACTTTAATTATGTCTTCCTCCTCTCTTGTCTCCAGGCTGGTACAACCGTCTGTACATTAACTTCACTCTGCGGCGTCACATCTTCTTCTTCCTGCTGCAGACCTACTTCCCTGCCACTCTGATGGTCATGCTGTCCTGGGTGTCCTTCTGGATCGACCGCAGGGCCGTCCCTGCCAGAGTCTCATTAGGTCAGAGGATATGCAACACAACCACTGTCTTGCATGGGTCCAAAGCACATGACAGTGATTCAAAAGCATAACTCACTTAGCACAGGAGTACCCCAGAGGGTTAGTGTCAAGGAGTAGTTCAACAATTTTCTGCTTCTTTCTAAGGATGAGATGAGTAGATCAAAATGATCTTATACACTGTATAATTTAAAGACAGGAAACAGCTTCCCTTGCTCTGTCCAAAAGAAAATTAAAATTATCCACCAACATTTTAAAGCCAGTACTTTACACTGTGGACTCTGTTTTATGGATGACATGACTGTTCCCCAATTGTGAAGCCAAAGCGTTTCGGCACACTGATGCACGCTCAGTGGGCGAAGTTTTTCCCTAAATTTAGTTTCAACTCGTTATTTGATGTTATTAAAAAACAACCCACAACCCTCAGAGGATAAGTGGTACAGCTAATAGATGGACGAATGGGTGGATAATGTACTCTTTAAATGTCAGTGAAAGACTGAGCCATTGACTTCAGACCAGGCTTTTGTTGGTAAATTGTACATTTGCTTTCTGCTGCATCGTGGGTACTCAGATGAAGTGCATTTGCTGCATTGGTTTGAAGCTATCAAAAGCACTTGTGTTGTGCTTGGTGCCACTTTGTTCCAGTTATACAATTAGGCCCTTTGACTTTTTGCTCATTTCATCTTAACAAATACAGAGTGTAAAATAATGATTTCTGGTGTTACTGGGAATAACAGACTCAGCGTTACCAAGTTAGCACAATTGCTAGATTTAGTGACTTTAAGACCCCAAGATAGACGCTGACACATTTAGTAACTTCCTCATATTTCACCCAAAGACGTTTTAACCGCCATGCTAAATTAGGATTGTGCTTTCTCTGTGCTTCAGGTATAACCACGGTGCTCACCATGTCCACCATCATCACTGGAGTCAACGCCTCCATGCCCAGGGTCTCCTACATCAAAGCTGTGGACATTTACCTCTGGGTCAGCTTTGTCTTTGTCTTCCTGTCTGTGCTTGAATATGCTGCCGTCAACTACCTGACAACAGTGAGGGACGGAAAAGACCGGAAGCTCAGGGAAAAAGTCACGGAACAGGTACCTTTTAAGAAATGGCACATGCTTCCAAATGCTGCTTATAACTTTTTTAGCTTTTTATTCAGTCTTGATCCCTTTCATTTTTCCATCCCAGAACCTCCCTTGCACCTGTGGCATGTCCCACACCAGGACCATGATGCTGGACGGTACATACAGCGAGGCAGACACTAACAGCTTGGCAGGGTACACCAGAGCCTCCATGATGGCTGAGGACGCGTCTGAAAAACAAGAACGAATGGTGGTGCATCTCTCCCTGGACAACGAGTCCACGGGGACCAAGAAAAAGGGCATCCGCGGCTTCCGGATAATCCAGAACACCCACGCCATTGACACCTACTCTCGCATGATTTTCCCTGGTGCCTACATCCTTTTTAACCTGATCTACTGGTGTGTGTACTGCTGAGTGCTTGTGTTCCAGTCTAAACTGAAGCAGTGAAAGAAAAAGAAACTGCAAAACCATTTCATTGACATTGGAAGAGAGATAGTTGTTTCTATTCTGCATGCTCAGGTGGAGCAGCAACTGGAGCGGCCAGATGGCTGAAAAATACCACAGGCTTCTGGGTGTGAATTTCACCAACTCTCGCTCATGTCACCACTGGACTCGACCACTAATGCAGTTTCTCCTCCTTTATATAATTATATCACAAGCTCATGGGTACCCCAATCATATTCCAACAACCTGGTGGGGCTAGTTGCACAAGTAATACTGTTGTACCAGTCTAATGCCAGTTGCCATCATTGTATTTATTTGGTGTCTGGCAACACAATCACTGTTGATTGTGTTGCCAGATACCAGATTTTTTACCCTCATTTTTCTCTGTTTTGGTCTCCACCATCTCCCAAGAAAAAAAAGTTGGCAAGGTTGGTGAGTGTAGAGAATATAGGCCAAAAAACCAAAACAATTTGTTAAAAGAGACTAAACAGCTCTGTGATGTCGTAATTCTCTTTGGGTTTATCACTTTAGCTCTTCCCTTTAATTGCATATAATCATATCTATGGTTGATACAGAAAATATTGATTGGCCAAGCTTTCCAGCTTTGGAAAACTGAGGAACTTGTATGTCTACGATGGACTGTTGTGATCTGAGCCATATTCAGACTATTGTCTTTGTGCAACCAGCCTCTGCCTAGACGTCCCTAAATAATACTCGCCGCTCTGCAGCTCTCTATTTTTCATGATCAAACTGTCAGAATAATAACAGCATATCGTTTGGCTGCTATTGTCTGTGGAACCTTTGGAGCTGACTGAGTCACATTACTGAACATTTAATGAGGCAGTAAGTGAGCTAAATACCAGGCTTTCTTCTCTGAACAGCACTCCAACTACAGTGACAACATTTCAGTTCAACTGACAGTCTGCGTTCCTTGCCCGTGTTACTCATTGACTGCTGTTGACTTTCTCCAGACGACAGCTACTGATAAAGCCAGGACTAAACAGGATGCTACCACTGTATGGCATCCTTTTGATTGGTGACGTGTGTATTTATTTATGGATTTGCGAGCTTCTTTATTCACTGACTTACTTTTATTTAATATTTATTTACTAGTTTCTTGAGCGTCAATAGATACACGTGCCATTATACCTTAAGTTGGCAAAGATGCACGAAACGGGTTGTACAAAACTGCTTGATGCATGCTGCAAGACGTGCAATACTGTATCTTTTGAGTTGTATATTTCCAAGAAAGGAGTTTAAAACATGATAAGCTTTAGCAGTGATGTAAACCAACTTGAACCGCCTTAAGTGAACATTTTTTTATACACCAACATGGTTCGAATAGATGTTTTTTTGTTCAATATGTTTGTTTGAGTACAATGAGTGACTGAATAGTTAACCTCAAGGTTTTCTCAGCAGTATTCAATTCTGGTTTCACATTTTATTTAATCATGTGGGTGTAATAGTAGGCTTTAGGCTAACTGCACTGGGATGTGTTTGAATTCAGACATCACAGTTTCATTCCCCAAAAGTTTATTATGAGACAATATTTCAAAAATGAACTCTAAAAAATTATCTTAAAAAGATATCCACTTTTGAAATGAATAGTTTTACATGAAAAATTAGCTTCTTGTCACGCTGGAGGCTATGGTTTGCTCCAAAATGTAAGTACAGAAGGAATACCATTAACCTCTTGCACAAAGTATGAATCCAGCTTTAAATTAATTTCATGTCTGTGCATTTTAAGTACAGAGCTAGATTGGGATGTGAGCTTAGCCTCACTCAAAGACAGAAAGCAGAGGAAACTGCACCAACCACTCTAAATTTCACTCCACTCTAAATTTCTCTGAGGAGAACACTGAGGCAGCCATGGTAGTTGCTCGAATCAATCAAAGACTGTGTCCGAAATCACTCACTAATCACTGGAATAGTCCACTATATTGTGAATTTGCCAATACAGTGCTGTTCGAATGGGCTCGAATGTTCGAATGTTTTATTCCCTACAAAGTGGACTCATTGTATCACACATTGCATTGTGAAAGGTAGTGTACAATCCATGGCAATATATACCATCAGGCATTGACAGTATTCTCACACTTTCCTATGGGTTTTTCCACCGGCTGACATTACGACGTAATAACTGGCTCATTAAGAACCAGAGTAGTGTCTAAGAGCGTTTTTTTCTTTTGCCAATGAGCTCACTATATAGTCTACTACATGGAAGACCCTATATAGTGAGTAGGGGTTGATGAATGAGTGGGTGATTTCGGCACACCAAAGTTTTTTTTTACATCGATCGTAGAAAGAAAGTTTTTAGCTCATTTGTCTGCTTTATTTATCTTTGTTTTTTTCTTACAACTGTCCAATTGTGTCCATTTCATATATGCTTATTGCAATATTGCGATTACTATTGCTAAGTTGAATAGCATCCCACACAGTTGATGAGTTAGATGGGTCCCCATCCTTATTTGACCTGCTCACATTTGAGTTTCGTCAAATATTTGGAGGCAGTGGAGGCAGTGCAGTCCACACAATCCCAGACATTTGATTCAGCAAGCAAGGCTAGCTCTGTCCCTCTCCTAATGCGAAGCTTGGCGACCATCACCTTAGATCCGTACATTCTGCACAGATATGAGAGCGGTGTTGATCTTTTGATGACATCCTCAGCAAGAATTAGCATTTCTTAAAAAACAAGACTGCTCTTCTAATGGAAGGTCTCAACCTTAACCTTTAGTAACCATTATTGCGCTTTTGCTTCAAAGCATCAATAAATTGATTTAGGCTATGTCTCAATCAGGGGCTGCATCGTTAGGAGGCTGCATTTGAAGACCGGTTGCATCACAGTTGCCCAACTAGGTCATACTGTTTCAAAGGCACCTTAAAATGTGGCAGACAAATGCGTCCTTCCATCGCTGAGAAGTGAAGGCTTCAGGAATGGATCCTTCCGGGCCAACCCATCCCTGAATTCATTGCACTTCAGTGACAAACTGTTTTCCAAAGACGTAATGATGCCAGCAAGCGATGAGACATCCAATGCTTGAGTATCACGCTTCAACCCAACCAAACAGCTAACAGAGCAAATGTTAAAAAAATTAAAGCATTAAAAACTTCCTTGTTGTGTCCAACTTCAGATCTGTTGCTAGGCAACAGCAATAAGGGTGGGACAAGATGGGGACCCTGATCGCGTAAATCTGTTTCATTTCGGTTCAGCTTTCATGATCTACGCAGCCTTTGTGGACTGGGTAGACCACATTCTCCGAAGGATGCTGCCCCTGAATAGAGGCATAGGCACACTTTGATGTAATTACATTTTTCTTTCTCCCACAACTCAAAACAAGAAGACGAGACAAGCACGCTACAGCTTCCAAACCGACATCACTTTTACCTTCATCCTGAGAAAATGTTCAGAATGTAATGCTTTCAGAGCAAATTTCATAAATAAAGTCTTTCTTTCATGCATTTACACGAGTCTTGATTTCTTGCTTTAAAGATTTCCACACACCTGAACACCAGTATGCAGAATCTGAAAAGTGACAATGTCCTTAAGCTCCTCCATCTCTGTCTAAGATGCAACTTTACTGACTCCAAGAATAATCTATCAGATACAATCTTCATGTGTGACGCACTTTTAAATTGTATATAGATTTTAGAGAGAACTCAGGGGACATCTAATCTCTAAATAAACAAATCAGTTCAGATACCTATGCCATCACTTTTTAAAACCATAATGCTAGAGTAAAGCAACCCCACACTCTTATCTGTGTTGCTTCTAATGCATCTGCCCTAAGGTAATACACTGACTCATCTTCTAATATGTCTGGCTTTACCCAAAGGCAGCTCCCTGAGAACTGTGTCCTTTACAGAAGTCTTTGGTAGCTCATAACATATATATAATATGTTGTGTCTGGGATAAATTAAGAAATATTCACATATGTCTTTGAAAAGCCAAAAAAAAAGGGAGACATGATATAAATAGTTTTACAAATCCCTGTGTGTGCAAAGCCGGCACCCCTGGGTAGTTTGGTTGGATTTGAACAGGAAGGAAAGGGATCTGATGTGAACTCAGCATGACCCACATCTGAGAGGGTTATTTTAAATCATGGCTCGGTCAACATTATCTGGGTTATAGAGGTACACGCCATTATTTAATACCCTAATACAGGCCCCCATCATCACAGGAATTAAGTGTTCACTGGAATGTTAAGTTATGTCAGTGAAAGATTATGACTGGCGACGGCTTCATGGCTTACATCACCGGTGCTTTCCCGCCTGCTTATGCAAAGCTAAAGAACACGTCCCGGCTCCAGCTCCGTACATCAACAGACAGATATGAGAATCATGTCAATCTTCATAACTCTCTGAAATCTACAAACATTAATTTGTATGTCCATTTGAAGAGGAGCGAATGCTTTGCAACAACTTAAGGTTCATACCTATTAATTACGCAAAGTCTCAATAACCATTCATTTTATTGCTTTCACTTGGCGTGTGTGTTTTTTAATTGCCCAGGGAAGTGCAATGTTAAATTTTGGTCCAATTTGGACACATGATATGTTCAACATGAATAACCATTGAATAAACAAGTGACCAATGCTCCATAGCAGTCAGCGGGGGCTGGCGGTGTACTTTCAATCTTTCGGTCTTTCAGTAGTCAGCATCTAAGTCAAACCACAGCTCAAAATCGCTGCCAGATCATTGTAATTATTTGATTTTTTTATTGCACCATATCGGACTGAAAAACAGACACAGATGGACTGACCCATGAGGGGTGCTGATCTCCATCATGGCAAAACAATTCCCATAATCACCTCCTGTTTGGTGATTTGTCTTCAGAGTAAAAAAACATTCACTTTGTTGCTGCAATGTTTTATATCGGTTTGGACTGAAGATTGTGTCATATACTTATATAAACATATATAGAAACCACACACATGAACAATAATAAAGCAAATTCAGTTTCATGTTATGATTGACTATAAAATATTAATTGCTGATTAACCAGGTAGGATGAACAACATCCAGCAAACAAACAATATATAGCGACAGTATATTGTAACTGTTTGAGGAGGACTCACTAATGACAAGGAGTAATTCTCAAGTAGCTCAAGAGCATTGACGAAGGATAAGCAACCAGCCCATTTCAAACTTGTACAGACTGGGTACTGCACTAGTGCTGTAAAATGACCCTCCTATACACCAATTAAAAAAGCTAATTGAGCACACTGTGATGTACCCTGATGTTACCCTACAGAATGTCAATTCAATTATGGGCCAAATCCAACAGAGTCTACTCTGTTCTCAGCTGGAGTTTGAATGTGAGAGATACAAAGAGCCAGAAGTGAGGACGAGCAGCTTTGAAGACAGTGAGCACATCAAGCCCCGCTGCTGCTCGCATCTACTGAGACGGCTCCTCCTGTGGCCTCACAACTTTGATGTTAATGATGTCCTCACTTGCACTGAAAACTTGTCCTCTGCATACAAACATCCCAGAAGCCTCTCAAATGTAGCTCGCAGACCGATAACAGCTTTATTTATAGTTTTGTGCTTGCTCAGCGGTTCTGTCGTTAACAAACTTCCCCAAGTTGTCT